TTTTTTTGCTAGTGCAGTGACACTCTTGTTATGCAAATCATGATGATGAGCAGAGAAGTTTGTCAGGGACAGGTAGGGTATTTCTTCTTGATTTCTTCTTTCTTCTTGTGCCTCCACAGACTTGCCTCTTTTGCTGCRGATTATTCTGCTCTGGAAAAGATCAACTTCCATCTACTCTTTTTAATAGTATTTGTCCTTTATTAGAAATTCTTTGGCAGCAGATCATACGGAATGGAGGGGATTGCTTTGTCACCACCAATCTCCTGTCCCCTGCCCCCCCAGCAGCACTAATGGCCATTAGCGTTAATTATTTAAAGTTCCTTGTTTTGCACACAGAAAGCAACGATCAATGCTCAGTGCCAGGTATATGGCTCTGCACCCCCTGACTCCGATACTTTACTTAAACCTCATTTTTCAAAGTGTCTGTTTTCTTTGATACAGCCCTTGGTTTTTTATTCAGCTTGGTGCAAGTGCTATTTAGAAAGCTCAAAGRTTTTATTTTTTTTTCCAGGCAGGAACATTTTCTCTGTAAATGTTAACCTTGGGATGCAGTCCGAARTCTTTATTTTCTTGTGTTTTTGTTCATCTCTGATTAATTTTCAGCACTGTGCATTCTGGGCTGTGGATGATATAAGGGCAAAACCTAATGGGTGGCCTTTCCACTTAGACTCACCTATGGTTTGTTTTGTTCTTGGATATAGATGGTCCACAAGGTGTCCAGGCTGGAAGGGTTAAGGAATTGTGAGAAGTGAAGATTTAGGAACAGATGTTCTTCTCCCCCTTCATGCGCAAGACCACCCCAAAACTGAAAAATGCTGAGCAGTACAGAGACATTGTAAGACATAAATRATAGTCTGGCCTCCAGACTGGCCCTTAGCAATTCCAGGAGCCTTTGTCCTATGGGTGGGTTGTGCAAACTACTGAATTATTTCAACTTCAGTTGAAATCCCATTGAAATGTATGATTTGTGTGTGTGTGTGGTGAAGGGTGTTCACACTAGCTGGCCTCCACATGTCTGAGCTGTTGGGATGGGCTGACTCCATGACTCCTGAGGGATAGGACTTCCTTAGGATTCAACTTSAGATAATTTTGACCCACCATCTCTAAAACATGGGGCTGTGGAACAGGGTATGATGTGTCGTGTGTCCATTCAGGCAATTTCTGGGCATTTGTGGCCTTCTGTGCTTTCAGGCCATGATGTAAATGTAAATTGTTTTCACTAAAGCAGAATTTGTCAGGTATCAGGGTCTTCCCATRTTTCTCAGGTTGTATAAAGACAAGGGATTTGAGGAAAAAATGTTCCTGTAAAAATTGCATGTTGGAAACAGCAACACTTGGGGTCACAGTTTTGTCCCATGTGTTTTTCCATGAATTCATCATAAATAGGGTTAGTGACCTCACAGCTTCCCAAAAGTTTTACCRCTCAAGATTGCACAATTAAACCAATAATATGAAATAAGCTGAACTGTGGATCTAATTCCTGGGTCACATCACACACAACGTAACACAGTGTCACGCAACAGAAATGCAGCCCCTGATGGGTAATGGCATTAAGMGTGCTGAAGTCATGCTACAAAACTTGCTTAATGATTTGCATTTTTTCCCCTACGTTACAAAATGTAGTTGAGCAGATGGATGCAGCCAGCTGTACATAGAGCTTTAGGGAGTACTGGGGAGAAAAGAGAGAGGGTTTTGTTAAGATAAATGTAATAATCTCTGTGATAATTAGTTTAATTTAGATCCGTGCATCTGACTCATTTTTAACTAACCTTGTATGAAGTCTTTCTTGCTTTGCTATGGGCCTGTGAATTTAGTTTGATTACAATCCCCTTTTTTGTTCTTGTGGATTGCTCACTGATCACTGATATTTTTCATTAAGCAGTTGCTTTATTACATTGTTATTTAGMGGGGACTAATTTGTGTTTTCTAATTAATTTAATTCCAGGCACATTTAGTAAGTAGCTACAATGAGCCCATTCAAGGGGTTTTAGGTCATATTGACATTGTTTACCAGATGTGCTCATTTGTTTTAAAGCACTGTTAACTCTGTGGTGACAACAGCTCTGTTTGATTGCWTGACTCTTATCTTCTCTAATCTGTATCTCAAAATGTGAAGATACATTTCAGGTACTAGTGAAAGATGTCCATAGCTATCAAATCACAGTGAAATTATATTGCAAACAATGTCARTTTAAACTATTACTGGTAGTTCACCAATTCTATTACTGGGTTTGATGGCWTAGAAGGGACAAGCCTTCTGGCTTCTCCTAGCCATGGGTTTGAAGCCATTTATCGAACCACCAAAAAGCTGGATAATGCCAACAAGATGCAGACTGGGTGCTTAGTCCATGCTTGGCCCATTTACCTCTGAAAAAGTTGCAGTGAGGCTTTAGGAGAGAACGGGGCAGCCAGGAGGATGAGCTTCCAAGCAAGGCATGGTGTGAGGCAGTGGTGGGACACGGTAATGGAATTAAAAGGCCAAAGCTGTAATTCACAGTTGTCACTATCCCAAATTCAGAGGCTTGGGAAATGCTTTTGCCAGAAGCTTTTTGGAAAAGCGCGGCATTTCCTTGCTAGTGGAGCTCCCAGGATTTGGGGGTTATTGGAGCGCTTCGTGTTCGTGGCTGTTAAATACTGTATCCATTCCATCATCTGAGCATGAAAACTTCCCATTATCCCTATCATGTGCTCATTTGGCCTGCTGTGCCAGGAACTGGAGTTCTAAAAMGAGACCCTAATTAGATGAATAAATAACATTTGCACAGGAAAACRTACAGGCATGTTATTCCCCCGACGATAAGCTTGTCCCATGAAAAACTACCAGCAGTTGATAACGTGTTCTGCAGTCACTTATTTTGGTAAGAAGTAAATTACTGCTTGTTCTGCAGCAAAGTCTGGCACAGAGCAGTGACACTGTAAGATTCATTGGCCTCTGAAGGACCTGCCAAACAATAGCCTTCATGCATTCTCCATTATTTTTCAACTGTTTTCCATCTCTTTGGGGTTGGAACAGCCAAAATGAATGACAAACATTGAAGAAGAGGTTTGTTCAGTAGCTCGTATTTATTAAATTTTAACRTTTAATGCTTGTGATGACTGAATAGACTGAATTCTGATACAATTTGACCTAGCAGCTAGGCTGCATTTCCGCTTTATTTTTTGGAGGGAACATTTAAAATGCTGTTAAATCTCTTCTGTCCCATGGTGGTCTGTTAAGGGTGTGTTTGTGCATGGGGATCTGTTCTACCTATTGATTTAATAGGAAAGAGCATCTCTTGGAAAGGGAGAGTAAACGTGTGTGCATGCATGTGGAAGGAGGGAGAGAGAGAGGAGAATCTCTATCTCTGTGTTTATCTCTGTGATAAATGATGCCTGTTAAAAATGTGACTTGCCATGAACGTTATTAGTGTTTTCCTCTTTAAGGGTATTATACAAACACAGTCCCCGTCAGCAGAAATGGAGCTGCAGTCTCGATTGTTTAGTTCAAACAGTTTGATATTTCATTGTCCCTCGATCAATCAGTGCCTGGAGGGATATCAGCTATTGGCTGGGAATGCATCAGAGTGACATGCAGAGCACAGATATTCCTCAAAAGCTTGAGAATATTTCMTTTCAAATACTCGTTACACTATACATCCCAGCCTGAGAGCAGCAGCAAAGTGAGCTCTGATTATCATTTTTAATTGTGGATCTTCCCTATTCAGCGCTAACATCTCCCAAATTACCTTAAAATAAGCGTCTTCCTAGACAGATTTGTAATTCACTCACATCGCTTATTTTATTCTCTGTGTAAAAGTTAGATGAGGGCATGGGGTTTAGAATAAACAAAATGCATAAAGTAGAAAACGTAATGCGGCATAAATGCCACATAAATCACATCCTAAAGACAAAAGCAGATTTCAGACATCTGAATTACTGAGCACTTAATGTGGAGTGTAATCTGTGTTTTGGTTTATGTTTGTTTCTGGAGTGTCAGAGCCAAATACGGGGGGTTTTCTCTCTTGCAGCAGTGGGGGGAAAAGGAGGAGGTCTTGACCCCAGGAAAGAGCTTTTCCTGCATTTTAGGTAAATCCCTAGAAAAGTGACTTCTTTGCTCTTGGCAACTGGGCTCTATGCAGAAGTAGTTGATTGAAATCTCACTTGAGTTCTCTTGCTCATCACACACTGAGTAAGAGGATGCTTCAAAATGCAAARTTGTCCTTGAAAAAACCTTCCCTGGTGCCCTGCCAGTTGTTTGTTCCTTTACATCACCTGCAACCTGTGCAAGCCCCCCCTTCTCCAAGCTCCCTAGCATCCCTCCCAGGGGTCAGGGCACTGGCAGTGCTGTTCTCAAGMCACAGCTCTCTGAAATTGTACCTAGCTGATAAAATCTCAGGCTTCAAAGATTTACACTTAGGATGGGCAGGAAGGAAAACGTGTGTTTTTTCAGCAACATTCACATTTTTTGGGGAGAAAAGCTTATTCTTCCTCATGCTTTTGTTTTCCTTTGCCCAGCCCACACCTGTCATCTTAAACCCAATGCCCATTTTCCATCCAGCAATCAATTTCTGGGGGGGAATACTTTTTAAAAAAATCAACCTGTTCCCCCTGCGCCGCCGCGATTGGTCCGGTACCATCGCCGAGCCGATCGCGTCAAAAGGAAAAGATCCTCAGCTTAATTGCGAGCTAAACCTCCTATAATCCATGGGAACATTTGAGATTCTGCCCAGGCGCTGGGTTTGGGCGGCCGCTGAGGGCTGTGGGTTTCTCTCGCAGCCTCCCGGCTGCTGCAGCACAAGTCAGCATCGCTAATGCAGGCAGAGCTCTCCCCCCGCTCCCTCCTCGCCGGCTCTCGCTCGCTCTGCCTCTCGCCGGGCTTTGATTCGATATGAACAGACTGCTAACTCCGATGCCAGAGCGAAAGCTGACATAACTCTGCAGATGGCTACGTTCGGATGATACACCTAGGGATTTTTTTTTTTTTTCTTTTAAGGGAAGGTAACGCTCGATGCTAATGTTTATTTTTCCCTTGTTGCCATTTTTCAGGACTGCCGGTCCCAAAGAAGAGCCCAAAGTCGGTAAGCACTTTTCAGCTACTATTTCTGTCTGTTTGTCTGCTTCGAGGGGGAAAAAGGCATGAGTTTGGCTTGTTTGCTTTCTGGGTCTCGATTGTTTTAAGTTGTATTTCTGTTGCGACCATGATTACCTCGCACGGCTCCTGCTGCATGGGGGGATGAGACAGGGATGCAGCACGRAAGGGGGACTTGTTTGCAAATAAAGCCTCAGGTTTACAGATGCTCTGCCCTGACAGATGAGCTTCTCTGTCGTTTAACTTACCCCCCCCAAAAAAAAGCTATTGTTTCCTTTTGGAAAGATGGGAGGCTCCACCTTCTTGCCAGATAGCAATTCCTGTCGGGTGCTCATAGGCACCAACCTTTTCCATTAACTCCCTGAGTTTTCTTCAGTACCCTTGGCTGAATTATTAACAGAAGGGGAAAGCATGCACCTTGTTGGAAGAGACAAAGCATGAACAGAGCATGGTTMCAGCTCCCAGGGAATACAGTCAGCTGTCCGAGTGCTTGCTCTGGAGGCATTTCCATACTGAGCAGGGTTGTGCTGCAGGTGTAAGATTC